TCCTATTTAAACCCTTTTCCCCACTTCTTGTATTTTTCTCTGTTCATACCAGATACTGAGAACATTTTGGTTATTATGTCTTAGACAAGTTTAGAACATACTTCAACATCTTTCAGAAAGATTCTTGTGAAGGTGAAGGTATTTGTATTATCTCCTAAGAGGTCATCTTAAATCTTCTTCAGTTAGGAAAGGGAGTTAAGTAGAGACCTCCAATCTTGGAGAGTGCCATCTTTCACTGTAGAGCTGAGGCCTAGAGTTCTGGAAACTAAAAAACATCCCATTATTTATCAATGATTATGCACTTGTCCTCTGAACATTCTAGGTTCTGTATTAGTTTTAGCAGGTATGTTTATGATCAGTGACACTACCCCAGGAATTTTGGTATAGCATGGCAGTAGAGTGATTTTATTATAACTAGTCTCTCTTGATTGGAAGTGCAGGGGATGATTTGAGTTCTCGCAATGAAAAGAGGACTTATATAGCATTAGACAGTTGAAATAGGAAGCTATTTTGAAGGACTGAACTCTCTCTAAGTTTTTAATTGGCAGTCTGGAAGTTGTTTCTCATGGCATGTCTACTTCATAACTTTATATTCTCTCCTTGTAACAGCTAGTTTTCTCAACTTACCCAGAATGTTGTCCATTCACTATTTTGGATAACATTTGTTCAGCTTAACCCAGCTGTTTTTGTATCACACTTGGCAGTGTTCAAGGGTTATTCTTGGCTATGCACTCAGGAATTACTTCTGGTGGTGCTCAGGGATGCCAGGGATCGAACCTGGGTTGGTCATGTGCAAGGCAAGTGGCCTACCCACTGTACTATCACTCTAGACACCAGACCATTATATTTATATGGCTTTCACCCAACTTCTGCTTCATATGCTCAACCTTTCTATGTTATGTGGTTAGAATTTTAAGAAATTAGACTCTGGCACAATTTATCCTTTTATGCCAAATTATGAATTTACCCATCACTGAAAGCCAAGTAATTTGGTTACTTTTGTTCTATACTGCTTTAGATCTAATACACCATGGTAAGGAACAAGGTAGGATCATAGTTTGCAAGATGTGAAAACTCAGGCAGTAAGAAATATTTGTGGATGTATATTGCCCTCTCAAGGTAGTGTAGAGAAGCAGAAGATGATTTGTATCTCTAGTGAGAAGAATAAGGCTATAATTATGTTCTAGATAGTTTTCCTGTGGTCAATAAAGAACTTAAACAAAGGGGGTTTTAAGTAAGAGATATATGAAAGACAAAGAAGACAAAGGGGAAAATATGTGTGTAAATGCATGTATATGTATTTATGTATATATAGCTGAAAAAGAAAGGAGAAATTGTGGTCATTTATATATGACAAAGAAGGGAGAAATTGTGGTGATAAATTTAGGATGCATAAAGATCCAAAAAGACTTTTGTAGCAGGGAGTGTGGACCCCTAATCAGGAGTATAAAACTAGGTAATGACCTTTAATAATGTTACAGATTCCAGACATCCACACAGCCAAATATCCAAATATAGTTGGCCCTCCACAAGCTCCATATCCATGGATTCAACCAACTAACATCTACAGTTGGCCCAATCAATCATGTTGGCCAAAGGATAATAAGAAACACATGTGTGAGCAGTCTTGTGCAGTTTCAAACCTATGCTGTATTGTTCCAGGCTTATCTATGTATTTTCTGCAGACCTCGCTCTGACAGCTGACTCCAAGTTATAAAATTCATGATCTATCTTCTGCTAGTAAGAATGTAGTTGAGTCCTAGAAAAGGTTTATGAAAGACTAGTATACTATAAATTACTACTATTTGTAAATCAGAAGAAGGCCGATAGGGATCTAATTGATGAGGCAAAACTAACTTCGAGAGTAAAGAACATTGCCACCCAATGTCTCTTCTGCTGACCACAGCACCCAAAAGGAGAGATAGAACAAAAGGGAGTGCTCTGCCACAGAGGCAGGGTGGGATGGAGGATGGGGGGGGTGGGAGGGATACTGAGATTGATGGGGGTGGAGAATGGGCACTAGTGGTGGGATGGGTTCTCGATCATTGTATAACTGAAACCCAAGTACAACAACTTGTAAGTCTACAACTGTACCACATGGTGTTTCACTAATAAAACAAAAGCAAAACAAAAAAAAAATAAAAAAAAGAAATTTAAAAAAAAGAATTTCTTTGATTAAATTTTGGACTGAAAACAAAAAGAAAAGAATGTACACTGACTTATCTTTATTCCAAGTGTTGACCTTTATGAGCTGCACCATTTGTAATATACTTCAAGTCACTTTCTATGGAAAAAAAAAGAAATCATACTGAATTGGTCGTAACACAGATATTTAAGATAAAAGGGAATTATTTTGATTTTTATTTCCCTGATAATAAGTGATGTGTTTTTTCATAAATCTTTTGGCCATCTGTAAGGGTTCTTTGAGAAATGTTCAGTTCATCTTCTCCCACCATTTTTGGTGTTTTTTTTTTGTAAAGTTTTTCCAGTCCTTTTTTTTTCTTTTTTGGGGGGGTCACACCCGGCCATGCACAGGGGTTACTCCTGGTTCATGCACTCAGGAATTACTCCTGGCGGTGCTCGGTGGACCATATGGGATGCTGGGAATATAACCCAGGTTGGCCGCGTGCAAGGCAAACACTTACCCGCTATGCTATCACTCCAGCCCCTCTACCAGTGCTTTTTATGTCTTGGATCAACACGGTAGCAGATGAATGGCGGGAAAATATTTTCTCCCAGTCTGTGGGGTGTTTTTTTAAAAATTTTGGTCATCATTTCTTTTGTGGTACAAAACTTCTTAGTTTGGTAGAGTCCCCTTTGTTTATCTTTTCTTTCATTTGGTTGGCCAGTGATATTGAATCATTGAAGATTTAATGTAATGAAGTGTTATATATTTGTTTCACTTAGTAAACTCTATAGATTCGGGTCTGATGAAGATTTCTTTAATCCATTTTGATTTGACTTTGGTGCTTGGTGTTAGAAAGAGTTCTGATTTAATTTTTTGCATATATATAACTGGCCAGTTTTCTCAAAAACGATTTGTTGGAGATGATTTCTCTACTTCACTTCATATTTTTTCATTCCGTTATTGAAGGATAACTTTCCATTATACCTGGGATATGTTCCTGGATCCTCAATTCTCTTCTATTAGTCTTAGAGTCTACCACATGAAATATCATTTTACACCTGTATGAAACTGATAAAAAAAGCAAAAAAAAAGTCAATGCTGGTATAGATGTAAGGAAAAAGGACCTCATTCACTGTTGGTGGAAATGTCAGTCCACTTTATTAAAAGGAAAATTTAATTTTTATTTTATATATATTATATATATATATACTTTACCAGGGTTTTAGCTTTGTTTTTTTAATATTTATTTTTAAATTGAATCACAGTGAGATACACAGTTGCAAAGTTGTTCATGACTAGGTTTCAGTCATATAATATTCCAACAACTGTCTCTTCACCATTGTACATTTCCCATCATCAATGTGGCCAGTTTCCCTCCCACACTCCCTCCCTCTATGGCAGACACTTCTCTCTCTTTCTCTCTCTCTCTCTCTCACTGTTTCCTTTTAGGCATTATAGTTTACAATATAGATACCAAAAAACATTCCAACTTTTCTGTAAAATAATGCAGATACTTTTTAAAAGAAATTGGGCTTTCATGTGACCCAGAAATCCATTTCTTGGCATCCATCCTAAGGGCCCAAAAATTCCATTCAGAAAAGACATATGTGCTCCTATGTTCACTGAAGCACTATCAATTATAGACAAAATATGTAAACAACCCAAATGACCAGAAATATATGAATGGCTAAAGAAACTATGGCACATGTCTCCAGCCAGACTGACCATTTAAATACTCTGGATTTTCTGGAGTACACAGCTGCATTTGAGGCCAGGATATATCTTCTTACTCTACAACACTGATATCCCGATATTAGCATACTAATGCCAGGATGTAGTGTAGAAACCAACTAATTTCAACTAACAAAAAATTTAACACAGAAGGCTTAACATGCAACAGCAGCTTAGTAAACCTCCAGACAAGGACTTAATGCCTGTATGGTGAGATACAATTTTCACAAATACAATTTTCACAAATTTTCTTCTATAGAAATATTGTTTGATCATTCTGTTAGCCATTTAGTGGTAATAAACAAACTCCTAGGGTAGTAGGCTTGAGGTGTGATTGGGAAAATGGACACAATGATGGAGGGAAGGTGGCAATGGTGGTGGGATTGGTGTTGGAAATGTTGAATGCCTGTAACAAATCTTCATGATCACCTTGTAAAGTACAGTGTTTAAATAAAGTGGGTGAAAAAAACTATGATACAGGGGCTGGGGTGATAATACAGTGGGAGGGCATTTGCTTTGCATCCAGCCAAAATGAGTTCTATTCCCAGCATCCCTTATGATTCTTCAAGCACCACCAGGAATTATTTCTGAATGCAGAGCCAGGAATAACCCTGAGCATTATGGGGTGTAGCCCAATAAAACAAAAAAAAATTCTAGTACATATATACAATGGTATTGTACGATATTAAGAAAAGAAGAAATCATGCAATATACTGCTGTGTGGATGGATTTGGAGAGTACTGCACTGAAGTTAGTCAGAAGGAGAGTGACTGGCACAAAATGATCTTTCTAATATGTGCGATATAAATAAATACAGTAGGGAAATAATAATGCACAAAGACAACATTAATTGACAACCAATCTTCAGTAGGAAGGTAATCACTGGAAGGCAGATGGTGTGGAATATTAGGGCACTGGTGTAATGAAGTAGACACTATGGTAGAGGGTGCTGCACTCAAATGTTTTATAAATGAATCCCTACCAATAAAACTTTATAAACCACAATGCCTAAAATAAAATTTTAGAAAGGTGGGAGGTATTAAAATCTGAGAGGTTTAGGTAGGATTTGAGCTGAGTTAATCCAGAATAACAGAAGAACTATTATATATTTTTCGACATACATGTATGTTTTTCTTTGTAGGGTTGCTGATAAGCTCAGGCTGTGCATTATACCCTTTAGGATGGAATAGCCCGGAGATAATGCAAACATGTGGAAATGTCTCCAATCAATTTCGGTTAGGTAAGGTGTCCTGAGAAGGATAATAGTCAAGATTCATTGAAAATCTCATTTACAATTTGATTTATTTATTTCAGGGTTGGGTGTCTGATTGATAGTGGTTTTTGTCTGAGTGTTTTTTCACTATTTTAGTTTGTGAGTGGCAGTGGTTTGGCCAAACTCATGTGTCCTTCCTTAGTAACTCATAAAGGGCTCACCATAAATTCTACTGCTTTAACTATGTCTCTACACAACATTTATGTACTTATAACCAGAATCCCACAGTTTGGGAGATCTAAAGAAGGATTTCAAATACTCAAAGATTAATCCTCTGTCATTCTTTGGATAAATGTTAATTCCTAGAAGTGTTTTCTTTTAGGACTGTTTTCCAAATATAAATAAACAGTATTACTTACTACTCTTTTCTGATGATTTACCAAGAGCCAATTTTGTTTACATGAAACATGAAGAACTTCAGTTAAATAACGAGAATTGCTCTGAGAGTGTTAAGTGGCAAAAGCTGTTAAATATTAGAATTGATAACTGAAGTAGTCCTACATTATTCTTTGATTTCCGATTATTACTGAGAATGGTATAAATTAAGTCTTGTGAGTTGAAGATAGATTAGACTCAAATTGGAAGATTAAAATATTTTCTCAATCTCTTGTAATGAAAGAACATAGAGGGGACATGTTTAAATTTCCAGCAGTCCAGAGGGGAAGAATAGTAGTCAACACATTCTGTCTTTGAACTATGCTATAAACTATTGCAATCAAATCAATTCAGTATTAGGATACAAAATAGATGTGTACACCAGTGAAATAGAATTGAGAGACCAAGATATATACATATATATTTATATATATGTATATCAAAAATGCACACACAATTAATTGATAACAAGTAAGTAGGGACATAAAATGTAGGAAAGAAGGCCTTTTCAGGAAAATATATTAGGTAAACCAATTAGACACATGTAAAAAGGAATGTAGTTGAACCACTATTTACATTGTGAACAAAAGTTCACTCAAACTAGATTAAGTTTAGACACAAATCCATAAAATGCACTGTCACTGTCACTGTTACTGTCCTCCGGTTGTTCATCGATTTGCTCGAGTGGGCCCAGTAACATTGTGAGACTTGTTACTGTGTTTGGAACATTGAATACATCATGGGTAGCTTGCCAGACTTTGCCGTATGGGCGAGATACTCTCGGTAGCTTGCTGGGCTCTCTGAAAGGGGCAGAGGAATCGAACTTGGGTCAGCCGGGTTGGTCACATGCAAGGCAAACGCCCTACCCACTGTGCTATTGTTTCACAGATCCATAAAGTACCTTTTAGAAGAAAATAGAAGCAAATACTCCATGATATTAGCTTCAGAGGTGACTTCAGCGATTCAACTATGTTGATAAGGGGACAGGAAGAAAAATTAAACAAATGGAATTACATTAAATTAAAAAGCTTCCATGCTATGAAAGAAGCTTTCACTAAAAAGAAAACTGAGCCTACTATGTGAGGAAAAGCATTTGCATACAATACATTTGACAAAGGGCTAGTATCCAATTACCATACTTTGCTAGATAATTGATGCAGATTTTATGCTAAACATTTTTTGCAAAAGTAGGAATTTGAAAAGGAATTATGCAAAGCTTTGAAAAATAGTGGGAATATTATGAAACAACAAAACAATAAAACAAAAACAAGAAGAAAGGGTGTTACTATTATGCAGGGAATTATGGCATAGAAAGTTTTTTTCAAAATTTAACAAGATAACAAACAACTACATCAAAAAATGTGGAGAAGAGCTGAACAGACTCTTCTCCAAAGAAGATATTATGCAAATTTCAATAGATTCATAAAAAATGCTTAAGTCACTTCTTATAGGAGAAATACAAATTAGAACAACAATGGGATGTAACCTCACATCAGTGAGTATGGTCTACTCTAAAAGGTCATAAAAAGCAAATACTGACTGATATATGCTGACTGATATGGGGGAAAAAAGGACCTTCATCACTGTTGGTGGAACAGTAAATTGATTTAGCCAAGTATGAAAAACAACATGAATTAGAAAAAAAAACAACACAGAACTGCCATGTGATCCAGAAATCTCACCCTTAGGTTTATATTACAAGAACACAAAACACTAATTCAAAAATATGTACACATGTCGGTGCGCATATGCTGCCTGAGCCCAAGTGTGTTTATGCCCACGTGGCTGAGCACATGTGGTGCCCGAGCACATGTGTCGCCCGCATCTGCCCTCTTGAGATGTATACTTTCATGCTTTCATGTCTAACTTTACTCTCTCTTGAGTATGTTACTCTCTCTCTCTCTCCCCCCCCTCCACAACTAAAAATTCTCCAAATAAAATCTATTTGTTTCAAAAACAAATATGTACACATGTCTATGATCATTGCAGTGTTACCAAGATTGGGAACAACCCATATGTCCAGCAAATAAGTTATGATATACAAATGACCAATATTTGGTAACGGTATGATTGACATAGAATCAAGACCAATTTTTTTTAGAAATACAGGATTTTGTCTAATATAAAAAGAAGTTGTTGTGGCATATATACAGAACAGGATATATACTCAAATATAAGAAAAGGTGAAATTTTCCCCTTTTCTGCAACATGGACAAAATAGGCAGATATGCTAAATGAAATAAATCAGAAATAGTTAAAGACATACTGGATGCTCTCACTCATATGTGGCAAATAAATTTATAAAGTAAGGGAGTAAATATACAATATACAATGAAAATTAGCTCCTAATCTTTGTGAACAGAACCAAGGTTACCAAAGAGGGGAATGAAGGGAAGTTGACACTGTTGGTGGGATTGGTGCTGCAATATTGTATTTATAAAATTCAAGTATGAATAATTTTGTAAATCATGGTGCTTTTATAAAAATCAATTTAAAAACAATGAAAAATCATAATTAAATACTAAATATATATTTGTATATAAATCCCAAGCTACCATAATAAAGGAATTTAAGAGGTTACATCCTTAAATTTTCTTGAGTATTTTAGGAGAGGATTTTGGAATAATTGACCTTATCCACAGCGTGTTCTCCAACAGTTGTTTATTTCTATTTGTTACCTTAGATTTTGTTTTGAGCCAACCTATTTTTGGAGGAAGTAGTTGTTCATTATATAAGATAATCATGGTGTAAATCATGGTGCTTTTATAAAAATCAATTTAAAAACAATGAAAAATCATAATTAAATACTAAATATATATATATTTATATATAAATTCCAAGCTTATCCCAAGATAGCATGAGGAGAAAAGTGATATGTTATTTTGTAGATGGATTTGTGTGTGTGTGTGTGTGTCTCCTAAACATTGCTTAGGAGGTGTGGGGCCCTTAATTGTGATTCTCGTTTTTGAGTTTTTTTTTTTTTTGGCTGCCACACCTGGTAGTTCTTAAGACATACTGCTCGATACGTGCTCAGGAATCGCTCCTTACAGGGCTTGGGGAGCATATTGAGTGTCAGGTCTGGCCACATGCCAGGCAAGCTCTCTACTTTTTCTACTTCTCTATGGTCCTGCCCTGTGATTCTTGGCCAACCAAGAGTATATATCCCAAGGATGTAGTGCAACTTGGCCCTTAGGTATTGGACATTATTTGAGCCACACAAACCACACAACACACCTTGGGATTCCTCCAGGGCTGTAGCAACAACATGGCTCAGGGACCAGGTTGGGGTTGAAGTTCAGGATGTGGTGTTTGACCTGAGGGTGTCCTTATGCAAGGTATGCATGTTAACAGCTGTGTATAATCTTTGCAACGCTTCACAATCCTCCTGCCAGCTATTGATTAATTAATCTGCCCCTTCTCTTCCCTCTGTTGATGCTGTGAGGACCAGGGAGGGATCACACACTTGGTTGTAGTAATCACACATTTAGTTGTGGTGTTTCCTGGGGGGCTTCTCAGGTTATAGTGCTTACACACTTACACAGGGAGCTCCCTTAGTTGTGGTGATTGAACATGTCCTTGTTAGGGATCACACTCTACATCTGTGGTGCTTGTTCACATTCTGGTTGTAATGCTTAATGGAAGTTGCTGCAATGTCCCCAAATGATTTTATTAGGTTGAAAAAAATTTCCTTTGTATCTATTCCTAGCGTGTTAAGTGTATTCACTATGAAAAAGCAATACATCTTGTCAAATGTTTTCTCTTCATTTACCAAGATGATCATATGTATTAACTGATTCTTTTTTATATCTTAAAACAACTTTGTATTTCTATGATAAATCATAATTCATTATGGTGTATCTTATAAGTTGACATATATGGTTTGATAGTATTTTGTTAATACATAGTTTTTATTGAATCACTGTGAGATATGCAGTTACAAAGCTGTACATGGTTGGATTTCAGTCATACAATTTTCCAACACCTATCCTTCCACTAGTGTGCATTTTCCACCGCCAATATCCCCAATTCCCCCAACCCCCATGCCAGCCTGCCTCGATGGCAGGCACTTTTCCTCTCCTTTTCCTCCTCCTCCTCTTCCTCCTCCTCCTCCTCCCCCTCCTCTTCCTCCTTCTCTCTCTCTCTCCCTTTTGGGGCAACGTGGTTTTCAATACAGGTACTGAAAGGTTATCATGTTTGCCTATTTTCAGCATACAGTTCTTATCCAGAGTGATCATTTCCAACTATCACTGTCATAGTGGTCCCTTCTCTCTCCCAGTCACTTTCTCCCACGGCACTTGAAGCAGGCTTCCAATTGCACCTGCATTCATCAGGGATAGTGGTATGTATGTTTCCTCATAATACATTTGTTGGATTTCGATACTAGGGTAATGTTGGTCTCATAGAATGAGTGGCTCTGATTTAACTTTTATTGAAGTTCTATAACAGAGTAGAAAATTGAGGTGTAATTTGTACAAACATATTGGGCATTTTTTGCAATTCTGTGTGTGATTGCCCAAAGTTGATGGTATTTAATTTTATTTGGTACAGAATCATTATTTTTGTCTTTATTCTTACACGCAATTAAAAATCTA